CCCGTGGAAGCCAGGACCACTCCTCGCACTCTCCGGGCTGGGGGTCTCGCAAGCTCAGAAATCAGACTAGGGGCACCCGCACAGGCAGCAGGACCCTGTCCCCTCCTACTCCCAGCCATGCCGGAGCCACCTGCCCCGCTGTGAAAAAATTTCTTGGGGATGGGGACAGGGATGGGATAAGGCTGCGACCCAATTAGTGCCTGAAGAGCTCCTGAGCTTTCTGTGCTGGGCTCCGTGACTTGCTGACTCAGCTCTTCCCCAGGAGCTGGGCTGGGGTGGATGATCACAAGGGAGATGCCTGGAAGCTAGAAGCACACAGAGTTTGCTCCTGCAAGCACGGAGGATGTGTGTGTCACCTCTTGCTCCCCCAGACCAGAGGCTGTACGGGATTTATCCAGGGATTACAGGGAAGCTGGGCGCAAGAGCCCCAGCACCAGCCAAGAAAACTTCCGTCGGCAACACAGCCATTCCCTGAATGCGGGGATTTTTCCAAAGTTATAATTTTCAATTTGATAGAAGAAATTCCTCCCAGGCTTTTTTATGCCAAACCTTTTCCCAGCTCTCCAGGATGACTTGCTCCCTTCTGCTGCATGATCATTCTCATTTTCACATCTCATTTTAACGAAGCACACTCCCTCGAGTGTCTCCAACAAGCGAACACCGTTTTCTCTGAAGACACAGTGGAAATTACAAGCCCCGAGTGGTCTCCAGCTCTGCTTTTGCCACAGCAAAGGCTTGTCTACAGCCCAGGGCTTGGCTTGGTTTTTCCACCGGCAATCCTCCCTCGAGGGACTCTGGCAAAGCACATATTGACTGCACTCTGCTACACAAGCTGCCCCTGGGCTGAGACAAAATCATCAGCAAATAATTTTGCAATCAAAGGTCATAGTGGCTCAGACCTTCAAATACAACCTGTTGAAGGTTAACCACAAGGTATTTGCAGCCAATGGTCCAAGATTAGCAAGAGAGGAAGGTTTAAGGAAGCAGCATGGCATGGACGGGCAGTGGGGACTGGATGGTAGGAAGTTCTGAGCAAACACTTGCATCCAGCCCCAGGGCGCAGGAGGGCTCCAGCAGGGGTGAAGCGAGTGCAGTGAGGAAGGGGGTGTCTGGACACGCCTGAACAGGGCAGGACAGCAAAGCCAGGGGGCATGAGACAGAGCAGCACAGCTGGCTGAGTGGGAGGCATCAAGGAAGAGCAGACAATCCAAACCAACAGCCGTGACACACTCGGCACAGTCCTGGAAATGACCTCTGGGAGTGAAAACAAGAGGAGAAAGGCAGTGTTTCCAGCTAGCGTTTAATAGGAATCTGGTTCTGAAATTAGCAAATTGCTGACGTAGAGAAGGCACATAAATTTGAAGACAGCTCTCCAAGATCAGCTCCATTTTCTGTGAGTAATTATTAAAAAAAAAAAAAAAAGAAGAAAAAGATTATGGCTTCTCAGAGCAGCCCATATATGCTAATCACATTGCACTCACCATGCTAATCACAACAGGGGAACACAGCCTGTTATCTGGAAAGGCGGCAGGTACTGTCACGCCACCGAAGGCTGTTCCTGTTGCTTTGGCACACTGCATCGAGTCGTGTTGAAACGCGTGGGCAGGAGCAGCACAGCACCATCGGTGAGACTTTGCCACCAGCCTGTGGTTCAGGTCACTTGACGGAGAAGCCGTATTTCAGCGGGTCCTCCTCTTCGACAGTGAAGGTGGCTGTACCAGTGTAAAAGGCTTCTCCCGAGACTTCCACAACGACAGCGTTGTACTCCCCAAACTTGACTTCCTGCAGAGGGATGAGGATCAGGACAGAGGTGACAGGAGGTTCTCCGCTCTCCCAAACCCACGAAATGCCAGCACTAAGCACTACCTGGCACTTAGGCAAAGACACCCCTCACCGAGCGCTCTGCCCTGCCCAGGCACACCCCAAAGTGTGCAGCAGCCCTTTTACTGCCTCACCTTGCCCGCAGGAGCTCCACACATGCACGACGGCTGCTGAGCTCGCGAGCCCCTGCACTGCCACGACCTGGGTTTGCCTCAAAAGGAGGCTGACAAGCTGCCGAGGTGGCTGCCTGCATCCAGGGAGCGAGAGCTCCCTGAGGCACGTCCAAACCTTCACACTCACGTGCTGTCAGATGCCATGAGGCCAGGGCTGGGCCTGGAAACCCGCACGCACAGACACAGCTTCTACATCTCTGAACAATGCGCTCTTTAAGCAGGCAAGAGGGGGCTAAACCAGGAACCCACCCTTAGCTGCCACCGAGAATGGACCAGACTGAGTTCTCTACATAGAACATCGGAAACATTTCTCACCCCAGTCCTTTCCTGAGGGCTGAGGGAGGACTTGAAGGGAAGCCACGCAGTAGGACAAGGTCTTACTGTTACTGACTTCCCTAATAACAAATCCTGAAGCGTGAGGCTTGTGGGAAGAAGAAACCTCCAGGCACCTCCCTCCTTACATATGCCCTTCCCTAGGCACAGAAACGCTCCTCTGCTTCTCCACTGAGCTGAGGCAACAGCACTTTTCCAGCAGTCCTCAAGACAGAGGGGAAGTCCAGCACAAGCCACTTGCCTGCACCGCCTTCCCAGTGAACAAGGACCCTGTGGTGCTGCTCCGAAAGGTTCTGGTCTGATTCAGCTGGATGAGTCCCTTATGGTACTGCAAGGCGATGCGAGCTGTCACACCCGACCCTGTCGGGCTTCGGTCAACCTACGTTCAGAAAAGAAGATGAACTTTGTCTGTTATTTTGTTTTTTAATAGAAAACAGTATTGCTCCTCTCACTTCTCTTTGTCACCTTTATACTGCACTCGGGGAAAATCCCCCTAGTCCAGAGGCTTGTACAGAATCCAGACATGTCACAAACGAGCAGGCAAAATAAGCAGGTTTGGTGTACTTTTGGATTCTAATCACCTTCGGCAAACTAGTAGGGATGAGTGATCTCGTACATATTGAGGCTATTGAGGGAATGCTTGAAAGCCTCGCATGATAGCAAAGGAAGTGAAGGGGGCAGAAGCCACCTTTCCCATTCTCACATGTCAAGGTAGGATCAGTTCTCCTTAACGCTAACCGAGAGAGCTGCTGGCCAGCCTGGTCTTTAAAATCTCCAAAACACAGCACTGGCCAGCTTCCGAGGCAATGTGTCCCAATGCTCCACACTCCTCACTGCTGGGAAGTCCAACCAAAACTTCCCCTGCTATTTATGTGATACCTTATCCACAGCAGACAAGGATAACATTTACACTCCCTCTTTTCTCTCCTGCTCTGTTTGTCCCCACCAAGTGTTCCCTAGATTGGGACTTTAAGGACAGGCACTATGTTGGGATCCCACCTCAGCCCCTCAACTCCTGGGACATTCCTACCTATGGGACATGGGTATGAACTTTTTTAAAATGCAGCCATCTAAGACGTGCAGAAGTATTTCTGTCACTAGGAACTAAACCAGCACGTGTTAAGTGACACTCAGCTCTTCAGAGACATCACTGCAGCAGAAGCAGCGATCACTGCCCAAAACGAGAGAAACACAACCATCTCGTCTCTGCAGTGGATACAGGAACAGAAAAAGGTGGTGCCTTGTGTGCCCGAGAAGAGCCCGCTTCTGTACCTGTTCATCTGCAAACACACAGATGTTGGTGGTGGGCTCCTCACTAAAGGCATCTTTCCCATCTGTCAGTATGGTGCCGTAGAGGAAAGCCAGGTCTTCACTTTCAGGGTGATGAAGCTTGAACTGGGAAGAGCACAGAGAGGTTCACCAACGTGCACAGCAGCTGGGCAGTCAGCAGTACGTGCAGTCCAGCTTCCTCAACAGAACAGAGGAAGGGGACAAGGCCCCACTGCTGCGTTTCCACCTCTGCTTCTCCAGTAACAGAGACGGACTCAGCAGAAGGAAAGTGAGCTCCTTCTCACGTCCTTGTAAGGCTTGAGGAGGACTCTGAAATTCAGCGTGGGGTGGGGAGGACGGGACTCCCTCCCATCCTGAGCATCTCAGGGGAATAAAGGGCCCGAGTCTGGTGCAGACAGCCTTCCAAAGGGAACACGGTGGGTACTGCAGCGCTCCACCATACCTGTTTCTTCACTGCTTCCGTCACCGCACTCGCTGCATTGACAAGGTCTGTGGTCTTTGAAGAGCACACATGGAGACCCAGCTGCTCAGCACTGACAAAGGCGTAGAAAGTGCCACCATAGCCTATGTCGACCACCACTCTCCCGTGACCAGGGACGTCGACGGCCAAGTCTGGGCAGAGAAAAGGAGGGCTGCGATGAGAGAAAACCACGCCGAGCAGCGCGCTCACTCGCGGAGCAAGGGAACCTGGCTGCATGCAAGGGGGGCACAGGGACAACTCGAGTGCTCCCATGCCGGAGTGGCACACGACACCTTAGGCCATCCCCGAGAGCCTCACCCTGCCTCTGGGGAGCCTTGGAATCAGGGAGGGATTTGCAGACACCCCTCAGCCAGGCGGCAAGCCCCCACCCTGGCACGGCCAGCACCAAGCCCTCCCCAAAAAACAGCGTGGCAGGCTCGGTGCCCACCGGTGGCGGCAGCGAAGGCGGGCACGCTGTGGAAGCGGACGGGGTTGCCGCTGCGGTGGCCGTCCCAGGGGACGAAGGCGGTGACGGGCCCGCAGGGGCAGCGCAGGCGAACGGCGGTCTCGGGGCGAACGGGCGCCGCCACCAGCCCGTAGTCGAG